CTCACTTTATATGTTGACCTTTTAAAGGTTTGTTACTAAAATGTCAGTGGGGGTGGTTTTCAGTCGCACATTAATTTCTGGTAGCTGAGATCCAGACAACATTAAAGCTTAAGGTAATTAAGACGGGGGCGCTGGTGGCTTAGTGGTAGAGCAGGCGCCCCATGTACAAGGCTGTTGCCGCAGCGGCCCGGGTTCAACTCCAGCCTGTGGCCCTTTGCTGCATGTCACTCCCACTCTCTCTCCCCCTTTCACGCTTGTCTGTCCTATCCGTTAAAGGCTAAAAAAGCCCCAAAAAATATCTTTAAAAAAAAAAAAAGGTAATTAAGACAGGCAAAACAGTTCCAGTATTATTCATTCATTGCTTCTTTTGTGTGCAAGCGGGATGTGTCTAAATGTTGCTGTTAATCCAGTTATTAAAGAAGTGAAACAGTGATGCAGATAAATTCTGAGTCACCGGTATTGTGTTTTGGAGCTGCAGTAAGAATTCAAGGAAAAGTTTCACTCCCCAATTGACTAATTGTTTAGCAATTAGTCACCCCCATGTTACCTTGAATTTGTGAGGACAACTTTGTTTTTCTGGCATACTTTCCATGGCGAACAAAGAATCCAAAAATGTAGAAAGTTCTTGGTGGATTTAGGTCACAAGGGGGGGCCACATTAAACAACAGCAAAACCATATCAGAACATCTATTTAAAAACTCTCACACAACTAGTGCAGTACAATCCAAGTCTCATTTATCCAGTCATATGCTCAGCAGGGCTGCCTATGATTAGGAATATTCCTAGTTGACCAATAGATGTCATTTAGGGCCATTAGTCGACTAGACATGTCGACTAATGGCATGACATGTTTATGATATTAATTTAATTATTAAATGATATATTTTGGGCGGGGCAACACAATGGTTTGAGTTGAAGGTGTGAGAAAGAATAGTATCAGTAACATTGTTAACACTGTGCTACATTACAGAGAAATACAAAACCGTACTAATGAACCTTCATTAATATAGGCCTATATTTTATCTACAAGTGCACGTCACACACTGAGCGAGCTGCCTGTTAATGACGCTGTGGGCTAATGGGCATGTAGCTACTTCCATGTTTCAGATGATACGTCATGTTTGTAGTCGACCAATGAAGATGAGTTTACATATCACCTTGGGTTCGTCCTTCACCTTCTCAAAATGATCCCACACTTTGGATTTCCTGCCCGACATGTTATTAACTAGCCTGTGGAATAACTACAGGTACCAGCCCTGGAAATTAGGGGCCATGCACATATGCTGCATCTTTAACCACTTACATATAACCCATTTACCTGAGATCCTGAGTGCAGAGCTGATCTTCTTCCAGGTGCTGTTTATAAGTGTGTAGACCTATCGTCTGTGGGACAGATGTAAAGCTCTGGGTAGCCCTGCTCTAAAATGATCGACTTTTCTGTATTTATCAGACTGAATATTTACAGAAGAAGAGAAAGATATCTGTTGGCTGTGATTGGTTTGTAACGTGACTCCTGTCTGACTGCTGAGCGTGGTCACTTCCTGTGTCTGTCCTTAAATTAAATTCCCACAAGGTCCAGTCATACACAGTACAGGCCAAAAGTTTGGACACACCTTCTCATTCAATGCGTTTTCTTTATTTTCATGACTATTTACATTGTAGATTCTCACTGAAGGCATCAAAACTATGAATGAACACATGTGGAGTTATGTACTTAACAAAAAAAGGTGAAATAACTGAAAACATGTTTTATATTCTAGTTTCTTCAAAATAGCCACCCTTTGCTCTGATTACTGCTTTGCACACTCTTGGCATTCTCTCCATGAGCTTCAAGAGGTAGTCACCTGAAATGGTTTCCACTTCACAGGTGTGCCTTATCAGGGTTAATTAGTGGAATTTCTTGCTTTATCAATGGGGCTGGGACCATCAGTTGTGTTGTGCAGAAGTCAGGTTAATACACAGCCGACAGCCCTATTGGACAACTGTTAAAATTCATATTATGGCAAGAACCAATCAGCTAACTAAAGAAAAACAAGTGGCCATCATTACTTTAAGAAATGAAGGTCAGTCAGTCCGGAAAATTGCAAAAACTTTAAATGTGTCCCCAAGTGGA